TATATATGTTTATGCCCGTGTATATATATCGATCGAGGAGGAGCTAATGACATGTATATGTATGAGATATCAGCGGGATCTGTATATGTGCATCAACCGACTATTTTTTTCTTTTCAATATAAAGCAATACTTTGTTAATCGGAGAACCTAATGGTTTATTGTTTTATTATTTTTATACTCTGAATCTTTACTCCGATTCTACCACTCGTCCTGCTTGGGACAGGTACGACGACTTTGTAGTAGCATATGGATCGAATCCCTAAACTCACACACAAAATTGGCATATAAATGCGCTGCTATCGATAGGTATATAAAATTTAGTAGATTACTCAGATAAATCCAGCAACGTTGTATCCTCTTTGCAACCACACTCAACGCTTTGTGCAGCTATCAGTCCTATTCTCAAAATCGAGTCGGGTACATCTTTATTCTTCTATCGACAGGTACGATAAGATTGGCAAGAACACACAAGTCGAGTCACTATCGGCTGGTGGTGTAGGGGGAGCACAGCGATGGGATGACGAGCGTATCACACTTGGCGGCATCAGTTCCGGCCCCAAGTTGGAGCAACTTCAGAGCACCAGCAAGCCGCTCTACTTTATTACTTCCGGGTACATTGACGTGATCAAAAAGGAGAACTTCATTTACAACGCATGTCCCGATTGCAACAAGAAAATTTCGGGTAAGTTTGTGAGGAACTTATATATGCAGTTCTGCGTCGCTTATCCGTTCACTGGTATCCACGCTTTACCTCTAATTTATGATCTAATTGAATTTTATTGGAGACAGCGTCGTGCAGCTGTCTGTAGTGTGAATGCAAGAGAGTTGTACGTTACATTGCACTTGAAATTCTAGTCACTTGCCAAATTCTGGCATGATTTGGAATCGATACTTGGGCCTCAGTGCCCAGACCAAACAATGCTGAGACACATTCGCAATGTGTCATATTTTGCCAGTAATGACATACAATTCACTCGCATCATGTTACAGAACAAGGCAGTGGCTACCATTGCGAGAACTGTTCAAAGGACTTCAGCGAGGCGTCTAAGCGTCTTATGCTGAGTATGTGCTTGTATGATACCGAAGGTAACACGTGGGCAACCGCTTTCCACGAGACTGCACAAGACATCCTTGGCATATCGGCTGAAGATCTCTACACTCTTTCCATGGTATGTATGTAAGAGTGCGTGCATCTTTGTAGCATGTCGTCCTTTTTGTCATTGTTTGCCCATACACTGACGCTCTGAACAAGACATCCTTGTCGTTTTAGCTACATAAGCCGTACTTTGCCTATGGCATGTTGTATTGATGAGATTGGCTGCGTGCGTGTGTGCGCGCATTGTATGTAACACGTGTTTTTCTGCGGCGATGAGTGGAGCATATGTATATCATGACGGCTCAGGGGCTTTCTTTTATCATGTTTTCGTTCAAACCCGAAATCCGATTGCAGTCTTTTAACACCTAGTCGCAAGCAGTACTACATAACTTTCTGTTTTAGGTATATTTTCGATATTTTCAATATTCTGCTCAAACCGTCGCGATTTGATCCTATAGAACGACCCAGACGCATTCGAAGCGAAAATGAACGATGCCAAATTCAGGCACCTGCTGATCAAGCTGCGGGCCAAGATGGATACCTACAATGTAAGATTGCTTTCAAGACTCGATTTTCCAAAAGCTTATCATTCAGTTGTGGTGGCATATGTTTTTGTTTCTGGTACTTTTGAGTCTCATTTTCACCAATCATTAACAGCGAGCATCTCTATGGCATAAAATTCAGTTGTATAGCGGTATAGATTTGTATTTTGTATTTCGGATACTCCTATGTCTCATCTTACCTGAACCTCTTCACAGGATGAGTCGCGTGTGCGTTGCAATATCAGCGCCGTTAAGGCGATAGACTACCTGGCCGAATCAAAGCGAATGCTGAGCGAAATCAAGCAAGCAGGGTTTGCGTAGACACTGAGACCTCTGTTACTTCATAGGAGACGGAGCCGGTTATAAAGAATATATCCCTTAGAGAATTTGTCCGAAGACGCTGGGTCCCACAATTTTATGGCTAAATAGCTGCATCAGCATTCTTTTGGTTCATTGATTTTCGTTTCGTTTGACGTGGTCTAGATATCATCGCATCGGATCATAGTCTTCAATTTATCTATTCTCATATTCAATTGGATTGCTCAATACATTTTTTCACCCGTATTAGCATGACTAAATGACACGCCATAGTATCAAGCAACCCCCCCCCCCCCCCCCCCTCGGACGGTGCTTGGTTCTTACTATTCCCCATTCTGAAGAGTTTCCTATACAAAATGAACCAAGTGCAGTACAATTCGATCGAGGCTCAATCATATGGTCGCATTGAGTTTAGCGTTTCAGCTATCAGGGAAATGAGCGAGTCTGAAAGGTTTGGCTCACTGAAAGTGATTATATTCGAATTCCTTATTCATGGGATAAGCGCACGGTGGGTTCTTCTGAACGGCGCCCGACTAAGTTTCCCGCAGTACATTATACAGCATTTCCCGTATGAACTGTCGAACATCTGTCGTCTGTGTGCGTCGTATCAGAGTTTCGCCAAGATAAGATCCGATACCACAGCGCGTGCCGGCATTCTTTCTCGCGGATCGCTGAGCTCTTTAGCGAGAAGAACTGCCATGGTCACACTTCTTCGGCACGCATAGAAACAAACCCTACTTTGTCTCTGTGCAGTGAACCTCACGAAATTCGCCTCAGCACGACAATAATGTACCTCTTTCACACGGCAAAGAGAGCTGTTTATCGGTGACTGTGAGTGCTACGTCTGATGGGGTTTCTGCTGCCTATAACCTCTCGCTAGATGATTTAAGTCGAGCGTACGCCTGAGGTTGTTGAATATCATCCGGAGTATGTGTTGCTTTTTCACAATTTCGCTGTGCAGCTTGGTGAAGATAAAAACACACATAATTCTATGTGCATATACGCACACAAAGACATAGTTCAAACACACGGGGTTGTTTGCTTCTGTGATGAAATTTGTACCAGCTTCGCCATACTAAAGTACGGTACACCACTTTGGGCTTATGATGAAATTGCCGGATACAGGACTACGACGCATTTCTCTAGAATATAACATCTACTACCATTCTTCAGGCTTCGCTGGCTGCCATCGTTCTTGATGCGGTGGGGGATTATGTGATCAAGCAGGGAATGACACGCACATATGCCCCCAAGCGTGGCAATGCCTGCCTTGCATATGCTGAGTTGTCATCCCTCATCATACGCTCGAAAAGCATACCTCAAGTGATCAATTTCAGTACCGTTTCACTAGAGGTACGAGATTTCGAGCCTGAGTGGCTTGTTTACCACGCAATCCTCAAGGAGCCAATCGGGACCTTTCTGGGCGCAATAAATGGGTTCCGGTCACAAGAATCAAGCGTAGCGTAATCAGGTTATAACTAAGTAGGACTATTTGTACTTGGCACAACTTCTCACTGATATATGCTCCTTCTACTACTACATTTTTTCTCGTCATGTATTGCTTGTACAGAATAGGAGAACTTGATTCGCCACATCTACCTCCCTGCGGTCCTCGATCGCTGTCGCTATTAAATTGCCAAAGGTACACACGATATGATTTTCATGGGAAGTTGAAGTTCTGCTTCGAACAGTAGCATTTATACATAATAATTAACGATACATCTACTGGTACAACGTGGTTGAATTAAGGACTCATGGACTGAAAACATAATTATTCAATTTATTTATTCGTTTGACAAGTGCTTCGGGCGGGTACTGCTAGTCGATACCCGGCTAAATCACCGGCAGTTGCCACGGGGGACATTCCTGGAGAGACTCCTTATCAAAATTTCATCATAATAAGAGCTTGTTGCCCGCAATGCGATCCGACACCAGAGCATGTGCTCTCTGGCCCTCTCGCGGATCCCTAAACTCTATAACGTGACAGAAAAACTGCCCTTGTCGCACTTCCTCAAGCATACACAGGAGTAACGCCCCTTTGTGTCTCTGCGTGAGACACCCCTTAATTCGCCTACATGGCATTATTATATCCCTGGCCTCGCAAAGCATAGAGAGCTGTATATCGGCGATTGCGAGCACTATGTCTGACGGTTCTTTCCGGCTGTCTAGTACCGCCTGTGTAAACGAGTGAAAGTTGGGGATGAGCTTACGCCCAAAAGCTGATGATTTGCACAAATTGCGCTATGTTGTCCAATTGCTGTGCAGCAATTGTATACAATTGTGCAATCCTATGTGCAAAAGCAAAGGTGTACATACACATCGCCCAGGCTACTAGGCTCTTAATTTACTTCGACTAGATTCTCAATACTAATGGTCAGCGCACCGTGGCTAGGGATATACGTTCATTTGTTTGTGTGCCTATGAAGCGCTGGTGTTAGAAATTAATGAAACACCTGATGGCAGACCAGCTATAGGCAACTACCAACGTTCGCAAACTGCATCTACTGCCACGCATACAGCTAGACGTCACGGAGCACATGCAACGGTTTAGTAACTTGGGTTGAATAGCAGTCAGACCCCGTGCATACTACTCAGTGCTAATGTTCGCCGGCATATTCGATAGTAACTTACGTCCACTTTTCGGAAGACGACTCGGGTATTTATGCTGTTCTTTGGAACCAATCCTGTTCCGAGATACGTGGCTTCGAATTTGACAACGCCATCCTCTGCACACATAGAGTCCGTCCTGGTTATTCGAGACAAGGTGCGAGATGTCTTGAGATGCTTTGAGAATAGTGAACAAAACTACTTCAACTGATTCATTGGAGAACTTATGCAAAAGTATTTGTGTAAACGCGCACTGGTCCCGATACTCAAGCGTCACAAGAAAAATGGAGCATTGTTTAGTAATGTATTGAGTAACAAAGCGTTGTTACAATCGCGGACAAATTAAATTGTATCCATGTACAGCTGACTGCAACAAACATACCGGCTAATATATACATATACACAGACAAACTCAACAATACGTGATCTAGTGCAGCTAAATATCCACAAAAAACAAAAATGAACACACAGCAAACGCAGCACACAGACCAGACCAGACATACATACACACACACACACATATATATACACATACACATATACACACAAAACACGAACAAACACGGACGAAGAGACAAACACAGAATCGAATACAGACACAGACATATATATATATCAATATAGGCATTCACAGGCACCCACCTACCAATCGACACACGCAGACACACGCAGACACACATATACATACTATATAACCATGTTTAACTATATATATATATATA